ACCTCAGTATCTGGCATTTCCAGGGGTTGCCCTTGCTGCCACTGTGCTTAGCACCTCAGGAGATGGCATTAATATCCGTTTCTAAGGCAACAACCTTGTGACTTGGAAAAGACTGAGTTGAAAGTGTGTGTGTTTACAAACAAACACATCTTACACATAAATATGTAAGGATTTACATACATATGGATATGAATTTATGCCAGACCTCCAAGTCACTTAGCAGTGGAGAGACAGGAAGCATCTGAATGAGGGTGATGTACTGACAGCAACGACAACCCATCTCCAGAGAGTTTGGTCAGAGATTTCACAAGAAGTAGGAGCAAATTCATTTAGGCACTCTCTGAAAGGTGCTACCCACGGGAAAAGTGTGGGCAAAGCTCAGAGGAGGGAACAGTGTGACATGGACAAACCTGAGCAGTGATGCCCATCAGCCTCCTCTAGCCCTGCAGGGGCAACCTTTGCTCTTTACCCTGTGTGAGATAGAAACTCAGATGTGGTCCCTGGTCTGTGCCAGGAATCACACTCCTCAGGAGTCAATGTCCATCAGGAGAACCTCAGGGCCTGCTCTGGATCAACACTGGGGCAATACCCAACCTGTTAACCTCAGATAAACCAGGAGTAAATTTACAGAGATACCCTTGTATATGTGAGGTCGGCTCAAGCCTTTTATTTTCCATTGAACAAAAGTCTATCTTCATTTCTGGCTTATTTAGTTCTAACTTTTCTCCCTGACTCTCCACATTCCCTCCACCCACAGGGACTGTTTGTTTTCCCATGTGGAGTCTGGAGTAATTGTGATGAGATTTAAATGCTGAGGATGCTGCTGATCGACCCTTGCTGGCCCTGCTCTGCCTGTCCTTTATGAAACTCTCCCCTCTCATCATTGACAACAGGCTCTGTTTTATTTGATTTTATTACAAGATATAAATTTCTGTCTGCAGCCCTGGCTTCCAGCACACGGAGGAGAGAGAGGAATTGCCTAGCAACCAGGGGAACAAAAAATTAAGAGAATCAATAAGTCTTAATGGAAAGCTAAACAGAGACTTTCAAACCAAACCCCCTCCCTGCTCCCAGCCCCGGCCCGTGGTAAGTCCATGACGATGTGCAGCATCCTGGCTATTGCATGAAGCATTCAGCAAATGCCTCTTCTGGAAAAGCCAAAGTGCAAATGAAAGCCTGGCCTAACCTGGGCTTAGGTAAAGCTCTGATCCTGTAGCATTTACACTGTCAAGCTTGAACACAGCACAGGGGTGGGGGGTTAGGGTTCTCTGCTGAGCTGGTTTCACTCTCAGGGTGTTAGAAGTCAGTGCTCCAGGTAAGTGTCAGTGATCAGAGCCTGAAGAAGGTGAGGGTCTGGATGCAGCAGCTGTTTCCCCACAAAAGGTCTGTGAGGAGGATTATGCCTTTGGTTAGGATGGGACTGAGTTTCCAGGCATTATCAAGCTATGTGTGCAAAACCAGCAAGCCCAGCATGATGTGTGACACTGGGTTGAGTCAGCAAGGAACAGTGCAGCATCCAGTTTAAAACAGAAATAAACCTGGATACAGTCACCTGTCTGGCAGCACAACTGCAAAGGTTATTTAGGAAAATGTATTCCAGGCAAAGGGAGCATTTTAAATGTACCAGGCCATGACTCTGCCTGTATTTAAGGGGCTATTTTCTCCTACAAAGTGTTCTCAGGAACCTGCTTGCATCCTCATGTTCGCAGGATCAAAATGGTTTGGTTGTGGAAGTTTTCCAGGAGCTACTGGCAGCCTCCTCCTGCAGATGTTTGTGCACACCGGGAATCTCATGGGCAGCATGGATAGCAAGAGCTGAGCTTGCAGGAGGGCTCTGCTTTGTTGGAGAAAACAGAGTTGGATGATTTAAATGGGGACCTGCTTTGCAAAACCAAGATTGTTTACGTAAGCAGAGATTTGTGAACCAAAAACAGGACATTGCAGCATCACAGGTGACCCATACATGATAAGAAGGTTTCAGCAGGGGTTAAGGAGGCACAGCTCCGAACCTTTCCTTGGCCAAAAGATCCTCACATCCTGCCCAAGAGACACTTTAGTCTTTGACTGGCAAAACAAGTCCTGTCCCATAGATGGCATGAGATGGACAGGCATGATGGCACAGGGATGTTTTCCCCCTTGACACTCCCTTGACACCATGGAGGTGTGAAAAATGTGGGAATACTTTGGAGGACAGTCCTGCCAAGACACAGACATGGCAGCTGGTGGTGATGTGCAAGGACAGCAGTGAAGGAGGAGCAGTTTTGGAGCGCGCGGGGCTACCGATGAGACCTTCAGAAAAGGTGATCCCCAAAGATGAGCCCCAAAAGCTGCTGGTGTTAGAGGGGCATCCCGAACGCGCTGCTCATGAACCTGCCAAGCTGCTTGTGTGACAAGCTGCTTGTGTGGCAAGGCCCCGGCCGGGGAGAGCTTGGGGTGGCTGCCAGCCACCATCTCGCAGAGAAGATCCACCGGCGACAGCATCCTCTCCGCGGGCAGGAGTTAAAGCAGGAGAGGCACCCCAGAGCGCCGGGGTGGGGTGGGACGGCCCGAAGGTCGGGGACCCCTCGCGGGTAGGGCCGGCCCGAAGGTCGGGATGGGACGGCCCAAAGGTCGGGGATCCCCTCGCGGGTAGGGATGCCCTGAAGGTCGGGGACCCCTCGCGGGTAGGGCCGCCCCGAATGTTGGGATGGGACGGCCCAAAGGTCGGGGATCCCCTCGCGGGTAGGGATGCCCTGAAGGTCGGGGACCCCTCGCGGGTAGGGCCGCCCCGAATGTTGGGATGGGACGGCCCAAAGGTCGGGATGGGCCGACCCGAAGGTCGGGGACCCCTCGCGGGTAGCGATGCCCCAAAGGTCGGGGACCCCTCGCGGGTAGGGATGCCCCGAAGGTCGGGGACCCCTCGCGGGTAGGGATGCCCCAAAGGTCGGGGACCCCTCGCGGGTAGGGCCGCCCCGGTGCCGCGCTGCCGCTGGAGGGCGCGGGGCTCCGGCAGCGCCGCTGAGAGCGGAACCGGCGGCAGCGGGCGGCTCCGGCGGGAGGCACCGGGGGCAGGCAGGGCAGCACGGGGCAGGGCAGCAGCGGGCAGGACAAGGCAGCACCGCCCCGGCGGCCGGAGGCGCGCTCGGCGTGCGCGGGGCGAGCGGGGCCGCATGGAGCCGCCCGGGCGCCGCCCGCCTCGCCAGCGCCCCCCGCCCGCGCCATGAGGCTGCCGTAGCGCCGCGGACCGAGCGCAGCCCCGGCAGCCGCCCCCATGGCGAAGGAGAGGAGCAGGAAGGCGCTGGTGGAGCTGCTCCAGCGGCCGGGGAACGCGGCGTGCGCCGACTGCGCCGCCCCGGGTAAGGGCAGGGGAGGCGGGGGGCGCGGGCGGCGGCTGCACCTGCACCTGTCCGCAGCGCACGGCACGGCACGGCACGGCACGGTACGGTACGGTACGGCACGGTGCAGCACCTCACGGTACCGCACGGCACGGTGCAGCACCTCACGGTACCGCACGGCACGGTACAGCACGGCTCGGCTCGGCAGAGACGGGGCGCGGGGCTCTGCCCGCTCCGGACCCCGCCGAGGGTGTGCCCGACCCCCCTCCCCACCCGGGGGATGCTCCGGGGCTGCTGGAGGGATGCGCTGCGCTGCCGCGGTCCCCGCGGACCAGCCCCAGCCCAGGTTTTTCCCCAATTTCCCCCGGGCCGGCCCGGCTCCTCGCCCGGCCGTGAGCGCTGATGTCATCCCGGCGGGTCCCCGCGGGCTGCAGCGCAGCCGGGGTCGGTAACCGGGCGGGGGTTCTGCCGAGGTGCCCTGCCTGCGGGGGCGGCGTGTCCTGCGTGTCCCCAAGGCTGCTCCTGCCCTGCCGCTGAGCAAACACATGGGGACAAGCGGCGGCAGCGCTGCGGACATCCTGCCCAACAACCTTTGCCCAGCTGCCATCGATGGGTGCCTGCGCAGGGAGCGGGGCTGGAGTGTCTGTAGATGGAGAAAATCTGGGCTGGGAATGTCTTACTCGCCTTTTGCATGGTGAATTTTTGGAGTCGGGCCGTGATGCTGTTGCTGAGCAGAGTCTGCATGGGGTGGTGGGATCTGTCTTTGAGAACAGCCTTAGAAAAATCGCAGAGCAAGTAACTTTCCCGGTTTTAAAAAGAAAAAAAATCACCATACAGAAAAACCTACATTTATATTAGCTTGAGCAGACTGGCTCTGAGGAGGGGTATAGAAAGGATGTCCTTCTCAGCCTCTGTCATTTTATAGGTTAAAGAATAACCCAGCACTTCAGCTGAGCCCTATTTTCCCAGCTATTGATTTGTTTAGGATGTCAAGATCTATTGGATACCGCTATCCAGCTCCTACCATTCCCGGTGGTTTTATATGCCTGATCTGCATCCCAGGACACTGCAGTTCACTTTCAGATGCGTTGTGTCCTCCGGTACCCAGCTGGAAAGGACAAAGAACTTTGGGCACAGCGTGAGAGGCTTTGCAGCGCGGCGCTGCTCCCACCCATCTGCTGCTGTCTGACTGTACCAGCCCACCTTGCTGAGCCTGGGCTCCCCGTGTAGGTGTCCGCCTGAATTGTTCCTTCCTGGAGAAAACTTTACAAACCTGGGCCCTTCAGATCAGCAGGGTGATTCTCCCTCACCCTGTGGGTATGAGACATAAAGCCCCCAGGCAAAATGGGAAGTTTCTCAGCGTCACCAGGGTGGAGATGGAGCTGTAGGTCAATAAAATAGCTCATATCAGGATAAGAAGCTTGTTGTTAAAGGCACAGAAAGGGCTTGTAAAACAACAAAACCATACTTTGATTTTGGTGACATTTGCATACAGAGATATCTTAGTGAATCTGAAAGTCAGAGAGGAGAATTTGGGCCAGTGTCTTTTGTAAGTCAAGATGTGCTATATTAATATCATTCAACCTCTTCTGAACCCTCATGGCATTATTTCCTTAGGACCACCCTCCTGTTCAACCCAATTCCTTTAGTGACTACTTTGCTTCAGTTTCTTTGGCAAAGGAGAGCTATTCATGGTGCTCATCTGCCTGGGAGTGACAATAAACTTGAGATGCCCTGGGCTACTTAACACAAGGTAATAACTTGTGTCTGTAGGTAGTATAGAAAATATTCAGCCTGAATTCAGTTATTCAGGCTGGGCAGGTGTGGCAGGCCAGCTCTTTCTGGGGATGAGGTAATGCAGCAGAGGCAGGATAAGTGTCCAGAGAGCCTCCAGAAAGGGGTGCAAGAATGTTCTTTGCTGAGAAGTGGGATGCACAAAAAGATAAAGGTGACAGCTGGAACTGGGTGGGCAGCTGACACTGGAAAAGTAACAAAGCAGATAAAATGAAGTGAGAAGGAAGAGGGAGGCTGTGGAATGAACAGAAGATGAGGGAAGCAGGGCAGACTTGTGCTTTCCCACATGTGAGTATCACCATAGGGCTGATCTGGTACGGCTGAGGGGAAGCCAAAGATCAGGATTTGTTATTGCTGTTTCTCAGGTGGGTGAGTGCCTTTCCCTGAAATACTCTGTTAATACAGAATCCATGATAAGAGGGAGCCATTTAGCTCAGGGATGCTCATAACAAAGAACAGGATGGGTTGGAAATGTAACGGGGGAAAATTCTGTTAGTCACTTTAATTTGTGTATTTGGAAGCCAGCTGGGTTTTCTTTTTCTTTTGGAAATATTTGTTTGAGAAATCAGCAAGCCAGTGAAAGTTTGTTTTTTTCCTTCTTGCTGTAAAAAAGGTTATTTTCTTTTGTTACCGTTTTGGCATTTGGGAGAGGCTCAGCAGCCAGAGCCCCACAGCTTGTCCCAGGTATTCTGTGTCCTGTCACAAAGCCCTGGTGCAATGGAGCTCTCAGTTTGGCATCCCTGGGCTAAGCTGTGACCGTACAAAGTCAAAGCTGGGACGGACATGGGGCATGGGGGGAAGCTTTTCCTCCTGGGCTGGGTAAATAACTTCATCCCCTGCAGGATCAGCTCATCCCCTTGGGGACATCTGGGCACAACCTGCTGCTTGTCTGTTTGGCCGGAATTTGCCACTGAATCATGACTGAGGATTATTGAAGTGCCCAAGTAAGGCTGTGCTGGTCAAGGTGTGTTTCCCTGGTGTGTGCACAGGATGTGTCCACTTGCACCTGGGTGGAATGGGGTGTTGAATGTGGTGCTAAGCAAGGTCAGATCTGGGTCTTCCCCAGGACCTGTGTATATGTCTGGCAAAAAAAAAAAAAAAAAAAAAAAAATCTCTTGTGCAAAACCAGAGGTTTCAAACAGATTTTGGGGGATGTCTCAGGTGGAGAGAACAGTCTGGCCATGGCAGCTGAGAATGCAGAAAGGATGCTAAAGTAGAAAGTGAAAATCAGAGTGTAAAATCACTGAGAGATTACATTTTTCGCTTTTTTGTGTTTGGTGTTTGGACTTTTTTTTTTAGGTTTTTATTAATTGCATTTTTATAAAACCTTAAATTGCAAAGAGAGGTTGTTTTGAATAAAAGGTGTTTCAGTTGCAAAAAATGTAATCGATCTGTAATGCATAATGAGACTGCCTTGGTTACATCTTTGAGACTGAATTCTGGGGCAGGAGCCACTAATAAAGTCATTAGATGGGGCTTTGGGTCCTCTGTCATTACACACTTCAGTGTCCTGGCTGTTGTGTTTTTTGTGGGTTTAAAGCTGTGCTGTCTCAGTGAAGACAGCATGGTAAATGCAGTCTTAAGTGCAAACTGAGCAATGTCACTGAATTGCTGGTGTGTAATGGCTCTCTGTGCATTAGAATAATCTTTTTTTTCTCCAAGACTAATGTGGCAGTTCAGCCTTTTCTTTTTTCTAAATGATTCTTTGTCTCAGGCAATCTTTCCTCACATCATAAGACGGATGGTTATCTCAGGGCATAACAAGACCCTGAGTATTTCTCTCTTTATTTTTCTATGACTTAGGCTCGTGTTTCCATGGAGTGAGAATTATTTTACATTGTAGGAGGACAGAGAGGCTCTGAAGACAGAAATGGAAATCCCATCAAAGCAATCCTGCAGTTTAAACCCTCCAGCAGCAGTTTACATGGCTTGTTATCATTTTATCTTTGTTATTTGGGATGGATTACTGAGACATGGATCCTGGCTAACACTGGCCTCTGTGCCTGAGGCCCGGGGGGGGGTGAAGGATGGAGGAAGAGCAGAAGGCTTATGCTGGAGGCTCATGGGGCTCTAATGGTGTGAAACGGGATTTTCATCTTCCAGATCCAAGTGGAAACTTGTTCTGCACCTCCATTGCCCTCTTACTTAAATACTGATTTTTAAAAAATTATTATTATTTGGTGTCCCTGAGAATTGGCCAGACCTTCTCCCCAGCTGTAAGCAGAGGGTAAGAAAGAAAAAAAAAAATTCCCACAGCAGTTGTGTTTAGCTCAGTGTCACTTTCTGCAGGAAAAAGGGCTTTTTGAAACAAAGGAGGTTTAATGTGATGGTGGATTTTGTCCTGTCCTGGTGCCTGGGCTGCAGCACAATCGTGGGCTGCAGACAGCGAGAGGGGGCTGCTGGGACCTGCCAGCTGAATTAAAAGACCTTGGCAAGTTTAGTGCCTTCACTGAAAAATTTTCCTACTTAGAGAGGAGAGTTGGTGGGAGGTGGTTTGACTTCAGTGTTAACTCTTTTATTGTTATTTTTCAACATGCATGACCAGGGTTTGTTTATCAGCCTCTTAATCCTTCCCCAGAGTAAATAGCTGCAGAACTTCAGTGCTGAACACCAGGTTCTCTGTCTCAGGCATGGGGGAAATGAGCAGCAAGCAGGAAAGGCTTTGTGCTTGTGTGGATTGCACTGAAATCCCTGTGGTTCTACCCTGCATCAACGAGTCACATTTCTAGTGCAGGGGGGAAAAGGTTTTGTTTGCCTCAGAGGTCTCTTTATCAGCTTGAACAGGAGGGGGTTCAGGAAAATCCCTTGAATCTGCATCCCAGGCAGAGAGCAGCTCCCACCCAGCTGGAGTGGCAGGGTGCAGCAGGTCGGGCCATCATTCTGTGCTGAAGGATGTCCTGAGGATGTGTTGCTGTGCTTTGGCCTCAGATGTTTGCCTTGATCATCAGTATTGTGCTTAAGTAGTGGGAAATGTAGTTTAAGGCAAAAGGTGGAGCAGGAGCATCCAAATTTTGGGACTCTTTGAGTTCTTGCTCTTTTCTACTTTGAGCCTGTTGCTGCTCTGCTTCATGGGATTTTACTTGGGTTGGTGACGTCTTGGGATTTTCAAACTGGAACCCCATGTGTATATTCTGGATACAGGAAATATTGGTTATTTATTTTTTTTTTAAAATCCATTACCATCCAGCTTCCAGTCTCTTTGGTTTCTATAAGTTGTTCTGTGTCTTTTGTTGTTTATTCTTCCATAATATTTTCTGTGTCTAGCCTAAATTTTTTGTTATTTTTCCCTAAGTTCAGGAATGCTGGATGCAAACTGTGGTGTTCGTGGTTCACTATGCTGGCTTTTCCTGAGGCTTGTGGTGGTAAAAGGTGCTGGGTGGACAAATTAATTTTGGAATTTAGCTGTATTGCAAGTGTTTTAGTTTTGTTTTGGGTGCTTCTCTAATTTCTGGCTATGCCTTTGCTTTCAGATGAATGAGATGGGAAAATACCAGCCCAGTGTCCTTCTCCTGAGTTTAGTTTAACTTTGTTTGTTTCTTTAATTTTTAAAATGAAGCTGACACACGTCTTTATTTTGAAAGGCATTATGATCTGTTTATGAGTTGCCAGGAATCTCTGCCACATTGGGCAGTGAAAGCCTTTTAGAGCTGGAATTGGTCATTCAGGATAAGAGTCTTTCTTTCAGTGTATTTGGTTTAATGTTTCCGTTGTTCCTCATTCATTTTTATTCCTTTTGGCTTGAAATAATGGAATAAAGTCATTTGTGTGGAACTTAGGCATGCTGGAGAGTTTTCATTAGGCTTCACTGCTCTTTGCTCAAAATTCTGGAGACTTAGGAAAAAAAATCATCTTTTTAGAGCAATGCCCAAAAAGCCCAGATTATGACATATTGCCATTTCATTGCACTTTTTTGGCACATGCCCAGACAGAACAATAAAATTACTGAACTCTCAGTAGTGTCCAGCATGGAGAGCATGTTCCAGCTGTTGCAGTGTCCGGCAGCAAGGTGGACTTCACCTACCTCTGGAGGCCTCAGCCTGCCAGCCACGCAGCTGGGGGTCATTGGCTCACTGAATTAATGGTGCAGCCCCAAAATTCACTGTTTTGTGGGAAGACACTTTATAAAAAATTATTTTCCTGTTTGATAAGATGTTGTCTTATCTCTGGTGCAGTAGTTTGAGGGGTTGGGTCTGTGATAAGCCAAGCCTGGGGATCACTGGCGTTATCCACGTGTCCCTGAGGTGAGAATTTGTGCAGGAGAGCAGAGAGAGGGACCGTGATGTGTTTGGGGAGCAACGCAGCCACTGGCAGCCCCAAAGCCCTGGAAAGGTTTTGGAGAAGCATCCCTGCAGCCGTGGGGCTGCCATGCCTGGGGTGGGTCAGCAGTCCCTGCAGGAGATGTGGGGGTGCAGCTCTGTCCATCTGGCTTTCTTGGAAAATGGCACGAGTGCAGGGGTGGGGAGAAGGGGAAGCAGCGCTGGCAGAGCTCTCCAGAAGCTGGAATTGGGGAATCCTCCACCCCTGCTTCCTGTCCACTGGCAGGGCTGTGACACGGGGAGGTCACAGGGGAGCACGAGCCCGGGGGCTCCCATGGCTCTGTAATCCTATGGTTTGTTCAGATGATGCTGAGAAATTCCTTTTGCCTTTCAGCTAAAGCCTGGGAAAGGTTTGGGCTGCCTTGCTTTCTGTTAGATGTCCTCAGCCAGGAGAGCAAGAGCCATGAGACATCTCAAATTACAGTAACAGCGGCATTTCAGAGGGACTTGCCCTGGCGGATCAGTTTGTTCTGGGGGTGCTCACCACCCAGCAATTTTTTGGATGGGGCTACGTCAGTACCTGAAGCATTTGAACTCCCCTCCTGCCTGGTGTTTCCCTTGGGATTAAACCCAGCTGCCAAATGTGGGTGGTTTTGGGCTGTGACAGGAGAGCAGCACACAACCAGCTGAGCATCCCCAGTCCCTCCACCCACCCTTGCCACGAAAGACGTATTTCTAAAACCAGGAGAGCGGTGAGGAGGAAGTTGCTGTTAAAACCTGTCAGAAATGTGAATGGCTGGGGTCAGGTCTGGTGGGGCAGGTGAAATGTGCATCTCTGTCATGGTGCTCCTCGAAATTTGCTGTGTGGGACACTGGTGGTGTTGGATGGACACGGATTTGGGTCTAGGCAGGAGGGGAAGTGCTGAAGGGAAGGTGACCAGGGGGAGATAGCTACTGGCTTTATAGGAACAAGCTGAGAACATCCCTTCCAAGGCTGGGTCACCCCTGACCCCGTTGTCTCTGCTCCTGTGAGGGACTGTCACCTTCTGGCAGGCACAGATGGGTGACCCTGTGTATATGATGGGATGTAGGGGGGGTGTGTGCACCCTGTGGTATAATCCAGCTTTTGTTTGCTTTGCTTGCCAAGGTATGGAGCCAGGGGGAGCGTGTTTAAGAGTCTGGTCTGAAAAGATCCTGTTGGTGTGAGAAGAATGCTTTAAAGCCCAGGTGTGACTGAAACCTGTTGCTTGAGGTGCTGTTTACCCCTGCCAAGGAGAGACAGCTTGGATATGGGCTGAATTGGTGGCCACTGGAGCTGGAGTCTCCTCCAGGATCTTCTTGCAGGATGTTCTTCCACCAGAATGTGTCCCTCTCCCAGGCTGGAGGAAGGTGTGCAGTCTGCTGGTCTGTCACACACAGCAGTGCAGGCAGAGGGGGGGTTACCTCTTGGGGAGGACTTTGGCAGCCTGACTCCACGAAGCTGCAGACAGCATGAAGAAATCCACCCGCATGCCCAAGATAAATGTGGTAACATTAAAGAGGCATTGGGACTCCCAATAAAACATGTTTTATTGGCCAGTGCATACTTTGAAACCTGTTCCCCTAGGTTGGGCAGTGCTTTGATCAGATTACTCATTACCTGGGACAGATTGGAGCTCAGTTATCCTGGAGTGGCTGTGCTGGACCCAGCTCTGAGCTTTGCTGCCACAGCTTCCTCACCACTGCCATGGCTCTGTCCTCTGGACCCTCTTACCATTCTGTGTATCTGATCCTCTGCATCAAGCTCAGTGATGGCTGTTTGAACACGAGACCCTGGTGCTTTCACCTGGCCTGACCTGCACCCTTTGGGACCCTTCAAAAACCTTGGGATGTTTCTGTGGCAGGAAGTTTGGAGGGCCCCAGACTTTGATTACAAACATATTTGGAGATGAGAGGGGACAATATGATGAGTTAGAGCACGGAAAGTGCCTGAGCATGCAAAACTCCTGATTCTTGGTGCCAGCCTACAGCCCGATAACTGGTCACAGTCTTTGGGGTCGGGATGAGTGGGATGTATGATCTGGGATGGGGTGTGAAGCTGAGTCACCAGTGGTTGTGGAAGCAGCAGGGTGTTCAGATCAGCACCCTTAGATCAACTTGATGGTTTTGTACTTGCCAGGCTTAAGTTGTAGTCACTGGGGTCTTGGATGGGGATAGGAGACCATGTGAAATAGGAAAAAACCCACCTTTGTGTCTGCTGGTGCCTACTGGGACTTGGATCAGTTTGGGAATTCGCTCCCCTCTCCCATGTGGGCACCCAGCTGTGTATTACGAGAATCTCCTCATTTAGCACTGGGGTTTACATCTGAGCAGAGCCACCTCTGGAGAGCAGAACTGGGCTTCCCTGGGGTGTGCTGGGGAGGCTGGTGGCCGTCCCTGCAGGCAAGGCTGGTGGCAGCCCTTGGTTACCCCTCAGGAGCTGAGCTGCTCCCTGCTCTGACACAGCCAGAGCATGAAAGATGGATAAGGAGGAGAAAGCACATTCCCTGCGTTTATAAATAATTGCTGTGCTGTGTGCAGTGAGGGTTCAGGGTAACACGGGGCAATAAATGGATGAGGAGGGGCTGTGAGAGGGGAAGACCTCCCTTACCCCTGCCAGCCTGATGCCATGGGCTGGCTGAGGGGCTCCCAGCCCTGTGGGCTGGGGGAGGATGGAGGATTCAGTGTGGCTGACCTGCAGTGAAGCTCTTTCTGCTGGGGCACAGCTGGATCTGCAGGCGCTGACATTTGCCTTGCAGTTCAAACAAAGATCCCTGTATTGGCTTTATTGGCAAGGCAGTGCCAGGGACACTGCTGGATGTGTCCTGCTCCTGGCCCCTGCCCTCCTCCAGTCCCTCTGTCTCCCTGCTTCGGGCACTGCCTCTCCCAGGGAGGAATTTACTCTGTTTAGTGCTTTGTGTGAGATGTCAGCCCGGGGCTGTAAACAGCGCATGGTTTTGCTCAGAGAAAGTACAGAGCCACCACTGGCAGCGTTTTTCCATTAAGGCAAGGGCTGGAAACCTCCTGGCATGGAGGGCTGGGCTGCTGGGAGCTGCAGCTGCGGGAGGAAAGTCTCTGTGTGGAGCACAAGTAATAAATAAATAAAAAGGGAGCAGCACAGCGGCTTCCTGAGCTGATGTAGTTTCTGTTCCATGCAGTGTTCAGATGGAATTTCCTCATGAAAGAAGGATAGTCCCCTTTTCTCTTCGTGTGAGCCAGGAGTGAGCTATAGAGGTCTTGAGCACATGCAGTTGTCTGTGTATTAGTTTGGGGAATAACAGCTGCATTGAGGTTTGCAGATCTAGTGATTGTTAGTTTAATTTGTATTCCCATCAATAGAAACATTTATTTTCTTTGTCTATTTATCTGATGCCTTTAGACTCAGGGACATCAGACCTGGTGACTCCTGAACTCCCCTGCCACGCCCTGAATCCAAAAGATCAATCAAGTGCAATTCCCTCTTTCCTTCTTGCTTCCAGACCCGGACTGGGCATCCCACAGCCTCGGGATCTTCATCTGCCTGAACTGCTCAGGCATCCACCGCAACATCCCGCAGGTCAGCAAGGTGAAGTCGGTGCGCCTGGACGACTGGGACGATGCCCAGGTGGAGGTACGTGCCCCTGGGCTGGGAGGGGTGTCTAGGTGTGAAAAGACAGGGGTCTGTGAAGGAAGGCAAGAGCCTCCTGTGAAATGGAAAAGGTAAACCCCCTCCCTCCGAATTACCACAATTTCAAAATTGAAAGGCTCTCAGGCAAAGATATGGGAATGGGAACAACAGTTCTTTATTAGGAAAAAACTAAATAAAACCCATGTAATTAGTACAAACAAAAGTAGTGATGGAGTCAGAAACCTGACACCCTGAGGAGTCAGGGTGTTGGTAATAGTCCAGATAAATGGTGGCTGCTCCTCCTGGAGGGGCAGATGAAATGCTGCTGGAGTGGTGATCCTGTAGAAGGGTGGAGTTTTCTCTGAAGGTCTGGTGATGGAGTAGTTGGGCCTGGTCTTCCTCTGGGAATCCAGCAGAGAAGAAGCTGCTCCTCTGGGAATCCAGCAAAGGGCTGCCCTGATGTCCCAAAAAGTGCTGATTTTATGCAGGTAGGGCTGCTTGGCTCCTCCCTCTGGGTGGAGCATCTCACCATGGGATGATGTAAGTTTCCTGATCATGCAGTGAGTCATTAATGGCCCATTAACAGAAGATATCTCCCCGGAGGGAGACATTGTTCTTGGGAGAGATAAGAAAACTGCCCAACTTAACAGGAGGTACCTGCCCAACCTCCAACAGATGGCAAATAGAGTACATGCTTAGCTTACAAGCCAGGACAAGGGGCCAAACCAGGGGGTTTGGGCTCTTCCCTTTGCAGCCCTTTCCAAAGATGCCACAAGAAATGGGATTTCAGAAAGCTTGTCTAGATAGTGAATGTGGGAGCGAGGTCGTGATGCTGAATGAATTAGAACACCCATTTTCTGAAGGATTTGTGAGGGTTTCCCACCCCTATAAAGATGTCCATGAAATAGCATGTAGAAATTACTAATTTTCAAGTTGTCTTCTCTTGTTTCTTACAGTATCTGTAGTCTAGACTAGACCTCTGGTCTACCACCCTGCCCAGCTCAGCTATCTCTGGCTTTGTTCCTCTTAAATTCACAGCTTGAAAAACCAAACCCTCACAATATAAATTCTCTCTATTTATGCCCCACACCTGCCTGGATTTGTGTGGTGCTGCTAAAGGCACCCAGGAAACCTTTCTGCTTTGACTACTGGTGTCTTCAAAGGCATGAAAAGCTCTGCCAGTCATTGATTTCTGTCCTCTAGCTGTAGAGTTGAGGTTTTTCTGAAAGCTGCACCTCATGGAGTTGTGTGTTTTATGAGAATAGGCCTTAGTGTTGCAGGGGTTTTTCCTTCCCTGATATTTTTTGTGGGAGTAGATTGAACGTAAATGTGAGAAATTCAAAACCATGACAGTAATTTAAAAAAAGCTTAGCTGCTTGTTATGTTTGTATGCTTGGCATTTGACACAAAACAAAATGTATTTAGCGTGGCTGCCTGGGAAAGAATGGGGTTTTTACACTTATAAAGTGAATTTCAATAAACAAAATATATGAATAAGGAAATAAGTAGTTTGCTGAGTTCTCAGCCAGCCATTTGTGTATCAGAAGAAAAGGAGGGCTGTCAGGGGAGATAGAAACATTATATATTTATTTATTGGAAAGGAGGATTGTCAAGGCAGATAGAACTTTTATACATTTGTTTGTTTATTTATTTATTTATTTGTCTGTCACTTCAAGCTCCTTCCTGAGGTAGCTGCAATGACTTTGCAAAAACCAACTCATCCTTTTGGCACAAGTGCTGTGATCAGAAGCACAGGATGTGTGGTCAGAGGCTATCACCCTGCTGGAGCTGTAACACATGGAGACTGAAAGCCAGTGCGATGTTTTTCCCTCTGGTTACCTAATCCCCATCTTGGGTTCCTGGATCCATCTGATTCCCATACCTGAGGGGGAAATGCCACTGTGTGCTGCCTCCTGCCCCTGTGGGGATCATGCAGGTGGCACTGGGACATGTCCTCAGCATCATTTTAAGCTGTGGGATCCCTAGTAATAATAACCAATATTTATTTGCAGCTGCCCTTCTGTGCACAGTCCTGGGCAAACCTCTCAGTAAGAGAGGAGGTCCCCCATCCCAATAATTTTATTGCTCTGTAGAAGTAAAAGAGAATAAAAGAAAATACTGTCAACATTTACTTAATTCTCTCTGTTTTTTTTTTCTCTTTTTACAGTTTATGGCCTCAAATGGAAACAATGTAGCAAAAGCAAAATATGAATCTAAAATGCCACCATTTTATTATAAACCAACGTATCTTGACTGCCAGTAAGTAAATACCTCTGCTGGTAAACAACATTTATTTGTTTGTGCAGCTGCAGCCTCTGTAATACATTAGTTTTAGCATAAGGCTTTTTTTTTTTTTTTTTTTTTTTTTCCACAATGGAGGTTTCATTTATAAAAGGTCCTGAAAATGTTTTTCCTTCTGCACACATATGGTAGAGTTTATGCTATGTGTGGGATCTTATTTAATAAGTACAGTTGAGATGATGCAGGGGAGTCAATAGTTTGTCTGTTCCCCAGGCTCTCCCAAGTTTCTAGAGCTGCAAGAATGCCAATTTCTACCCATTGATTTCCTCTGTCTTTTCAAATCCCCCTTCTGCATCAAGGCAGAACTTGCTAATCTGCTGTGTCAGATGCTGGGTTATTTGTAATACAAAAATACTGGGGGTTTTGTTGGGTTTTTTTCACCTAGATGACAAATAATCTCCTCCCTGAAGGCAGCTGAGGGCTGTGTCTCCCATGCAGTGTGGAGGAACCTCCCTGGTGAGCTGGGCTGGGCTTTGTGGAGCAAGGAGCTGAGCAGCCAGAACCTGCTGTACTACCTAGGCTGCAAGGGGGTGAACTGAATTTGGCTGTTAGGGTCCAGCCCTGCCGTGTACCAAGGTGGTTTTTTTATTCTTGTGTGAGTGGAGCTGCCTGGCCTGATAAGAAAAAACCATCCATTTATGCAATGTTCTGAGCTGCAGAATCCCAGCAGTTTGGCTGTGCCATTTTGAGACTTGTGTGTGCTTCTCATGTTGGGGTTGGAGAAGCAGGATTGGTAGGAGAAACACAGATCTGGGGGATTTTGATTTTGTTTACTCCAAGTCTCAGTTAAGTTCAGTTAGATGCTGCCTGTCAGAGTCCTGGTTCTTTTTTGGGACTCTCAGCTCTCTGGGCTCCCAGGGACCCTGCTGGGGCTGTCTGGGCTCCCAGGGACCCTGCTGGGGCTGTCTGGGCTCCCAGGGACCCTGCTGGGGCTGTTTGGGCTTCCAGGGACCCTGCTGGGGCTGTTTGGGCTTCCAGGGACCCTGCTGGGGCTGTTTGGGCTTCCAGGGACCCTGCTGGGGCTGTCTGAGCTCCCAGGGACCCTGCTGGGGCTCTCTGGGCTCCCAGGGACCCTGCTGGGGTTGTCTGAGCTCCCAGGGACCCTGCTGGGGCTGTCTGAGCTCCCAGGGACCCTCCTGGGGCTGTCTGAGCTCCCAGGGACCCTGCTGGGGCTCTCTGGGCTCCCAAGGACCCTTCTGGGGCTGTCTGAGCTCCCAGGGACCCTGCTGGGGCAGCCACTCCATCCACAGCCTGTGCCTATGGCTGGTGGAAGGGCACCTCTGGGCTGTGAGGAGCTGGAGCAGGGGATTGAAAAGATTTGGTTTTGTTTGGTTTTGGTTATTTACTGATTCATTGGGATGATGAGGCATGGCCAGTCTGCCTGGGAGCAGCTAGAAGACGAATTTCTGACCGTTTTGTGGTCCCAGCTTGTGCCTGTTCTGCACTGGGCCTGATCCCTGTGCTCAGGCTGGAGCCCTGCTCTGGTAGGGGCTCTCTGGAGCAGCACTGCTGGGTCCCTGCCACAGCAGCAGGATGCAGTGGGATGGATGTGACCTCTCACAGGAGCAGCCAATGTCCTGACCCTGCTGCAGCACCAGCAGCTGTGGGACATCACACCCTGGAGTGCCTCAAGGATGCTGTGCCCAGTTGTATTTTTCTGTCTCTAGTTCAGGGCTCTCTGTGCCTCTCAACAGATGCATGCTAAACAAGTGCAGGGGAGTGCTGCTTTTTACAGGGAGGTATATTTAGCTTTTTCCCCGCCTCGCTGCAGTCCAGTCACTGCAATAGCATGAGCTGTTCCCAGCCTGCAGCCCTGGGAAGCATCACCATGGATGACACCTCCATCCAGCACTGGCAATGATTCCAGCTACCTTCTGCAGCATCGGAGGTTTTGGTGCTTCTAATTCCAACAGCAGCACATGCTGGACAGCTGCAGTGCCTGGGCAGCTGCTTGTTCGTTTGAAGCTTCTCAATTTTATAATGCTGTTTCTGGAATCCCTCTGCTTTGGTTGCATGACAAATTGTGAAGTTCAGGGCAAGAGGGAAGAAGTTCTGCAGTGCCAGGTTGTCCTTTTTTCTTCATGCCTACAATGTTGTAATTGGCTCTTTGGGAAATTCATGGTGTTTGGCTCCTGTATCCTTCAAAAGCCCCATCGTAGCTTCCTGGTTCTGCATGACACTTGGCAAAGCTTAGAGAACTTGGAGGGGTGCTCTGAAATTGCCCAAGGAAAGTTCGTAGGCGAAAAATTACCCCACAAAAAACCCCCCACCAAACCAAAAAAACCCCAAACAAAAAATCCCGTTCTTTCCTCTCATCTTCTCTGTCTGCCAGCACTGATCCATGACCCAGGGACAGTGACCAGAGCTGCCAGCTCCTGTTCCTCTGGGGAGTCCCTAACAGTGAAATGAGTCACAGGCTCTGGGATGTTCCTACACCACCGCAGTATTGGCCCAAAGAGCTTTGGGTGTGGAATTTAAACCACAAAAGCTCTCTTTGGATGGTCATAGCCCAGCTTGGTGCACCACAGCAGCAGACAGAGAGCTGTGAAACAGATTTTTGTGGGGCAGCTACATTGCAAGCACATGGCCGAGTTTTGGGTCGCCACTCAGCAGCAGGTACTCACTCCTGAGTAAGAGCAAAGGAAAAAGGCTCTGTTCAGTCTTTGACTTGGCTGGAAACTGATAGAAGAAAGGGATATAATCTCTTAGTGGGCTTTTGCAGAACTGGAAGTACATCCCTGTCCCTGCCCAATACTTACCAAGGTTTTCTGGGCTTGGGAATGCAGAGACTCATCGTATGGAACTGCGAATGAGCTGCAGTGTTTTGCTCTGCTCCTCTCTCCGGGCTTGGATAAGTGGGAGCTGCATCTGCTCCTCCTGCAGAGCAGTTCAGTGTTCTTACTGTCTGCACAGGAAAATGGGGCAGGATGAGATGGCCTGGGCTGTGCTGGTTGTGTGCTATCTGGAACGAGATGAGACATCAGTCAGAGAAAGGCACACATCTTGAGGAGTCATCCATGTACTCATCTAAAGAACAACAGTTATTAGCTGAAGTGGCTTTTTGTATTGATTGAGATGTGCAGAGGGAAAATTGCCTGGTAGATATCTGGATTTTTTTTTTGTTTTGTTTTTCTAATCATTTGAGGTTTGGTACATTTGGTAGAGGAGCTACCAAGCCCATCACTTCCATCTGGTGTGAGAAGGTCAGCATAGCCCCAGTCCCCTCCTCTGCCATGCATGGGCACAGTTGCAGTCAGGGGTGCAAACTTCTCACCAGTTCCTCTGTCACCTCCTTTTGCCACTACTTCATAGATAATAAAAACTTTATAGACATAAAAGACTTCATTACATAATGTCCACAGGGGTAAAATTGAGATTTGCTCAGGCTGCTAGTTATTAATAAGCAATTTCAGATTTTACATTCACAGCTCTCAGAAGTGCCTGATGTCTTGGGTGTAAAGTTGGAGGTGCTGCAGTGTGGCCGCTGGGAGTGGCTGCTCATCAGTTCATTCCCAAGTGGTGGAGCCTCTTTGGTGGCTCAAATTGGTCATTCAGACTCAGAAATTCTTTGAGTCACCCAAGTACTGAGATCTGCCCAGTCCTTCAATCCTGATCAGCCATGGGATTCTCTCCTCTTGTTCATTTTCTCTTTGCAGTTAGTTTGTAAACCTGTTAATTCATATTGATTCCTTTAATTTCCAAAGGAAATTGCTACAAGGTTGAGGTAGTACTGACAGAGGCTGTTTCCTACATGTTTTTAATTGGTGTTTAACCGTTCTGAAAAATAGTGTTGGTGTACTGGACAGTGCGTGTAAAGCAATCAAACAGAAGAGGAGCCAGTTAGCATTTTAATTGAGAATGTTGTGATTTTGCATACTCAGAATCAGTTTTAACCTCTCCAAATCCACAATGCAAGGGTTTTATGCCTTGAGAGCCAAACCCCTGTCTTTTTGCTCTCCTCTGGCAGCTTGCTAGGGGGTGGCACATCAATCCTCAGGCTCTACAAGCTGAGGTGATGCACAGAGAGCCTGAAGAAGCCCCCAGCTGTCTCATGCCTCCACAAAGCTCTTTAAAAGCAAGTCCTCACAGCAAGAGCTTACTAGATAGGAAAAGAGTGTGAAGCTAGACAGGCTTTTAGTCAATGCTGCAGTGGCTCTCCTTCCAGTCTGAGCAGAGAATTTGGACTCTGACTTAAAATTTCATTAGAGCAGTTGTTTGACAGAAACCTGGCATAGCTGCATCCACCAAGCTGCCTGTGGAAAGCATGTTGGCTTTTGCTGGAAAAACCTCTGAGAAATTCCAGAAGCTACAATTTTGGCTTCTGGAAATGGTGTTTCTGGATGTCATTCATTTCTTTTGTCTTTCTTGGCCTTCGTGGTGCCTCACAAGGATGCAGTTAGGCAGTGGTGGTGTGTGGTGTTTGATGTCTTTTGGGCCACTTTCACCTCTGGCTGGGGATTCTTGTCTGTCATATGTCTCCAAAAAAGCCCCAGCTTCTATGTGCAGTATCTGTGGGTGTGCTCTGGAGTGCATCAGCCGGCCCAGCTGAGAAACAATCAGTCTTGGGAAAAAATAAACTGGAGACTGAATTTGGCTGGCCAGCACCTCCTCCACACAGCACACCGAGGCTGTGCAGCCACAGTTTGATATTAAACTGCTTGAGCAGCTTTTCCTGTGGTGCCTTTTGCTGTGAGCTTTGAGTAGGTGGGACCAAGATAAAACTGCTCCAGGGGCTTCTTCTGGAACCTTCCTGACTGCCCCTGGGCAGAGCCCTTGTGTTCATGTGGGTGGTCAGGAAAGCAAACAAGTGCCTCCAATGGTGTTGGCAGTGCTTTGTCACCCTCTGGACTTGCTGTCCCTCAGTCAAGCTCAGTCCTTTCCCATTTGGGGGATGAATATTTCCCTTAATATGTTGGAAATGTGGATTTCCATAGTGTTTTGTTTTGTTGATTTTCCTCTAGGTTTTTGATGAGTACAAGGACTTTTCTGTTCTAATTGCCAAAAAACAGCAAGTTCCCTGTAACCAGCAGCCTGACATATTTAAGTGGGCTGTTAAAGCTTTTGGAGTTGATCCTGAAAGCTGTGCATCTCCACAGTTTAGGAATGATGTACTTAACATTTTTTTAACAAACACAAATAATATATTTGCTGATTTGCTGCATTATCCCATCACCAGAAATGCAGTAAAATCCCAGGGGGCTGTTCCTACACTCCTTTCTGGTCACAGAACTCCTTTTGGAGTCAAAGGTGGGTTTGGATTGAGGCTCCTGTGCTGGGTATGTGATGTCTGCCCTGGGTTACATGCACACATATTCACACCTGGAAAAGTTCATTTCAGCTGAAACACAGCAACAGATATTTCTAAAGCCCCTGAAGATAAATTAAGATCAGGTCAGCAGTCTACTGAAAGTGGTGGCTGTTTTCATACAGTCCCTGTGTGGTTTGAGGATCTTCTGCCCTGCAATTGCTATAGTTCCTATAGATCCCAGGACACATTCCTGCTCCTGGATGAATTCATTAGAGCTGTGCTGGTGAGACTGGGGTTTAGCACCAGCAGCTTTTTATGGCAGGATTGCATCTAGTCCATGAGAGTGAATGTGGTCAAAGCCCTGCTCAGCTTCTGTCCTGCAGTGAAGGGAGATGGTGAACTCCTCGCTGTCCTAGCTGGGTTTTTGTTTCGGTTTCTTTTACTGGAGTTGTTCTGCTTTCTATAAATAACCACTGGAGCAGAAGCTGCAGCTTGTGGCCTTGCACTGAGTTGTCCAAACTGTGAGCTGCTCTTGGTGTGTCTTGGCTTTTGGGAAACTACTGCTGAAAGACGTTGGGTTTGTGGTGATAAGGAAAGGGGAAGGATGTGTGAAGTGCTGGGCAGCTGCTGGGAAGGTGGCACAGCTGGATTCCCACATGCTCTGGGAGTTGCCAGCAGAGCCAGATGTTGAGAGGCCCCTGAGAGGATTTTGCAGCTTCTCAGGGTTGCCCTTGGGGCGTGGTGCCTGCTGTGGGCAGCCAGGCCCTGCAGGGGATGATTCCCCAGGGATGAGCCCTGCAGCCTGCGTCCTGCAGCAGGAGTGGTTTCCCACTGCTGCACAGGAGCCTGAATTTATCCTGTGTTTGAACCCCCGTGGTTCTCAGAGCCTCGGAGCAGCTGCAGCTCCTGCTGAAGCCACTGACGTCAGCTGGAGCTGAGGGTGGTGTGAATTTTCTTCCTCCCAGTTCGATCCCTCATCATCTTCTTGAAAAGGTCCAAGTTTGGCTTCAGTGATAACAAGCTGTCTGCAGCAGCTGGCCAGGAAAAATTGCAAGAAGGGTAGTAAATTCAAGTATTGGTGTTTATTTTATGATTAAAATTTGGTAGCTCTGCTGATTATTGACAGAATTATAGAGCAGGCACTTGGGTGCCATCTTTTGGGTCAATAGGCTTCTATGTTTGTGGATATCAGATCCAGAAAAGGCATCCTGCTGGATCCAGAAGAGCCCCCTTGGATGCTGAGTGGGGTTTGAGCAGCCCCATGGCAGGGGAGTTGGAATGGGATGACCTTTAAGGTCCCTTCCAAGCTTTCTGTGATGGTGCAAAGTGCAGCTGAACCTCCTGAGGGTGGCTTGCACCCAGAGCAGAGCAGAGCACACATGGCAGCAGGAGGGAGCTGGGTGTTCCGAGCTCACAGCAAACTTGGCAGATGTGTGACAGCCAAAGATGGGAACAGGAGCAGAAGGGGAGAGGCAGACTTGGTGCATTGTTTCTATTGCTGCAGGAGCTCACAGCTGGGTTTTGGGGCCAGGGAAGCAGTGGTGCTCCCCGAGCCTTGGGAAGAAGGCTGGTGTCCCAAGCAAGGAGCTGACACAATGGGAGGAACAAAATCTATGTGATTATTTCCTCCTGTATTGCCAGGAAGCCAATCACAGCCACATTTCTCATTGGATAGTGTCTTGCAGATTTATTGAATGTGTTTGCTATACCTACAGATCAATTTTCATAAGCAGTGTTGGTATGTTTATATTCTTTGAGCATTTCTGGGATGTGCCTGCTGAAAAATACCATTTAGTTTGCATAATCAGCAAAAAAGAAAAGGTGATTAAGCATATGAATAGTTTTCATTGGCAGAGAAGTTGATGTGTTGAAATGTGATGGCTTTACAAAACACACTCAGTGCTGGGGGATCTTTTACTGTCTTCAGTGTAGGCAGCTCTAAAATGTCTGCTGTGAAGCTGGGATAACACATGGCTTTATTTCTGAGTGTGATCTGCCTGCTTGGGCTATTTAGGGTTCTAGGGCAATTAAGAAATAAGTTCAGTTAAAAATGGTTTGAAGCATCTTCCAGCATATTCTAGATCAAAGTTACTTCATTGGTTCAAGCATTCATGCTGAAAAAAAATAGCAAAAAAAAAAAATTTTAATATCTGGGGTATTTTTTCCCCCTTTTTGGATTTTGAGGTCTTAGTGTATAAATCATCAATATAATTTCAGTATTAAAAGTAAAGGACTTTTTAATCATATTTGCTGCCATGCATCATAGACTGCTTTCTTAAACTTGGCAGTATGGGCTGTGAGTTTGGAAGAGCTTGGCCAGATGGGTTTTCAGCACCTTCTGCTTCTGTAGTGGTATCTTCAGGGCAGTAATCTCTCTTTTGTACATAGCTGGGGTTTTTCATTTAGTCACTCTGTTCACTGAAGAATGTGGCCTGAGAAAATTAGGTCTAAAATGGTTCATGTACTGAGGGAATTTTTTACAGAGGCTGATTGGGTGGGTGGGGACAGGCTGTTCTGCTAAATCTGTGCATTTAAAAAAAAGTAAGTTTCCAATAAAATTGGGAAATGATTTATTGTTGTCCAACTGTAAGCAGAAAAAACCCTTGACTCCAGACTGTACAATGCAATTTTTGGAAGACTTTTAAATCACACTGGTGCTTTCATTGAAAAATTAATGATTCTGATTTCTTTCTTAGTGTATCTTGGACCATGTTTCTTTTTCTCTGTATTTTTTTTTTCCAGACTACTGCGGGAACAGTGGATCAGAGCCAAATATGAACGAAAAGAGTTCATCCACAGTGAGAAGCAGGAGCCTTATTCTGCAGGTAGTGAAAGACACTTCTGGCAGATAAGATTTTTGATGTCCAGCACCTTCTATTTTCTTCCTCTCTGTTTATATGTTCTTTATGTTGATTATTCCCCATATGTCATTAAGTAAGAGAAGTAAGTGTGGTCTTTGCACAAGGTCCCTCCTGGCATTCCCTGTGTTTGATTTGGAGAATTTGGAGACCTGATGGAACAAATCAGTGATTGTGAGTGTGTCCAGCAGGAGCGAGGCAGGCCAAGCACGGCGGGTTTGTCTGGGAGCAGGGCTGTGGGGCTGGGTGGAAGTGCAGATAAAGGACATTTGTGTCCTCGAGGTGGCTTTGGCTTTGGAGAGGTGCAGCAGCACTGCCAGCCTGGTTTGGGGGGCTCTCCCAAGGACCTGTCCCCGTCCCTGCAGGTGCAGCAGTGGGACCTGCCCTGCCTGGAGCAGTGCAAAGGTGTGACAGAGCTCACTCAGCAGGGTGACAGTGGCCTTGCATAGCAGAGAGTGGGTTGGGTGATTTTCTTGCAGAAGGGCAGGATTTGAAGAGGAGATTTGACCCTGTTTGTGGGTGGATGCACCAGCGTGAAAGTGCATGAAATTAGCTGGGTATTTCTTTGCTATATGTAAGTGGCATTTAATTTATTCTGCATATTAAGTAGTTGACACCAGCTATGTGCTTGGATGACTCTGGGATAATTTTATTAGCAAAGACCATGTTACAGATTAAAGGTTAAAATATTATTTTCATGATGCTTTTCAAGACTAATAATATGCAGGTAGCTCCAGCAGTTTGCTGTTATGAAAACCACAATTAAATTCTGATCTCATATAGTCTCAATTTATGTTTTGAGCATTTCAGCTCCGCTGTATTGTGTACATGAGGCACACAGTGTGTGGGGCGTATCCATATTCATAGAGAGTGTGTTAGGCACATTTTTATTTTAGATTTTTATAAAAGCTGTCTGCTGGAGTCGGATATGTTCTATTAACAATAAATAGTTTGATTTCTTAGATAATTTTTGAATGGATCTGCCAATGTGTGTATAATACTCACCCAAGAATAATGTTTCCAATTTCTACTGTGTAACTTCTGGATATAAAAGCTGGGATTCAACCAAGTACTTGAGGAAAATGCATAATTTTAAGCACATGATGAGTCCTTTCGACTCTGAGAAGAGTGTGTACCTGGTTAAAGTGAAGTAGGTGCTTCAGTGCTGTGTGGGAAGAGGGGCAGTGTGTTCTGAGCTCTCTGAAAGATATTATAAGAAGAATTCAAAGGGGAGTTTATTTTAGCAGCGTATTTTGTAGGTGTTCTTCAGTAATGTGGCTGCATAATATTTAACTGCATGCTGAAGTGATAGGGTTTTCTCACCTCTCTTTGAAGTTCAAAAGCCATTAAATACAGAATAGAAGAGAAGAGGGTGAGCCATTTTCAGTGAGCAGTGCCCTGGGGAGGAGGAAGGGAAGAGAAACAGGCTGGTGGGCATCATGTAAGTGGTGTATAAGTGATTTTAGCTTGTGAATTGTCTTTGAGAATGGCACTATCTCCAAAACCCAGCACAGGAGCCACACAAATGACCTGTGCAGCTGGGATGTCATTTGTTGGTTGTTCTGGACAGTAAATTCCAAAGGGAGCTTTGGCCAAGTGGCTCCTCCAGGTTGATGTTACAACAAAACAAAGCTGGGGATGCAACCCCAAACTCCCAGTGCCAACTTTCCCTTCTGCTGCCCCATCCCAGCCCCCAGGTGATGCTGCTCACCTGTCCTTCACCCTGTGCCAAAAACAGCCCCTCCTTCCAGCCTGTCCTGCAAACCAGCTGCTGCTGCAGCTTGCAGCTCTCAGGCTTGGTTGTTTCCTGGGCTTGTGTCCTGAGAAGGGAGCCCAGGGAAAACCCTGTGTCCTGTGGGAAAGGAGAACTCTGAACATCACACAATCGTTTAGGTTGTAAAGGTATCGAGTCCAGCCATTAACTCAGCATGTCCCCAGCAGAAACGTCCCCAGCAGAAATGTCCCTGGGTGTCTGGGCAGCTCTTGTGCCATTCCAGTGACATGGGGCTGTTTTGTCACCGTGCTGGGCCTCCTGTGCCTGCTGCTGCTGCCAGGCTCAGCACAGCTGGCTGTGACACAGGGTCTGGAATGTTGCTTTTTCCCACTGACCTGAACTGCCTGTGAACAAACCGAGCTGGCAGCAGCACCAGGGCACCCTCCTGCCCACCCCACATCCAGCTGTGTCTCACTGGAGTGTACCTCTAGCTCTGTTTCTTCCTAATGCTGTCTCAGACCATTTTTCCTCACCCTCCTGAATTCCCTGGAGCAGTGTCAGGTTACCAGTTTCTAAGCATGAAACATTTTGTTGCTAATAGAAATGTCAGTATCCATTTTCTCATGTTTGCTGGAAGATTTAATTCCATTTTCCAATCCCAGGGGCTATTTTGCATTCTGATGTTTGTTCAATAACTGCATGAAAAATAAGAAAATGCTGTATTGGAATAGTTTTGAGCAACATCCTTTTCCAGGCAGCCTGATGAAGCCCCGGTCAGAAATCCAGTGTCTTTCAGAATATCCTTTGGGGAGAGACTGTCTGGAGCCTGTAGATGCCAAGCAGGAGCTATCACAGCTGAGCTGCCAGACTCAGGAGGAATGAACCTTGGGACAGGAGTGTCAGATGTGCAGGTCAGGGCTGAGAGGGGAGCCTGGCAGGAGGATGCAGCAAACCTCAGCTGCTGGGGAGGGGGATAAGCAAGAGGCAGTGTGGGATGCAAAGGCAGCAGCTGCCCCAAAGGGTCTTGCATGTCTCCCAGACCGCTGGAAACATCTGCCTCGTGAGATGCAGAGGGATGCCGGGTGGCAGGGCCAGAACTGGGAAACAAAGTCACTTCCCACGTGCAGAAATGCCCGGTGTGGGCAGTGCTGAGCCTTGAAGCCAGCTCTTGAACCAGGATCCATGGGTCTTGGTTCAGTCCCCAGGTGAGATGGCCCCTCCTGGGGCTGTGCTGGGCAATCACAGCCACTCACCCTCGGTGGGAGAGCACATGGGAACTCCTGAAAGGAGATTTAGAGTTCCTTGCTCCCCTAGGAAGCCTTGGAGCACAAGGCATGTGCTGTTCCCAGCTTTCAGCTCCTCTGCCCCGTTAGAGTTTCAGACTGATGGTTCTGTTGTTAATGAGGATATCAGCTCCATTGACTGGCCAGTCAGATGGTGCAGTGAGATCAGTAAAACTGTGATTAAATGTTTCAGTCATCCCCTATCGATTCTCCGAGACACCCTCTTATACATCTGAGCTCTTCATTCAGCTGTAATATGAGCTGAATAATTTGTTTGCCCTAGCCAGACTTTATGAAACAAAACATTATTTACACCCCAGCAATCTAATTAACACCATGGCCACATCCCTTTCTCTAGCAGTACATTTCTTGTACAACTGCACAGAATGATATCTGTCTTGAAACTCTCACACATTTCTGGTTGGCTTTATCCCTGCTGGTAAATGAACTGGCAAAATTACTGCCAGTCTCCAGCTAATTGTCCCTCCTAACGGAGTTTAATGGGGCATGGGTGCTGAATTCTCCTAGAAACAGGGGCCACTTGTAATTATCATCCAAGTCTGGATCTGTATCTCAAGGCAATTGCATGGTTTGATAAATTTTAAAAATATTTTGATTGGTTTTAAAAAACTTGCTTGTTTTCCACTGCTGTTGATAGATGGCAGTTCTGGCAAAATCCCGGCGGACCTGCTGAAAGTTAGTTCAGTTGGGTGCTCTTGATTTCTCTTAATCAAAGGGATTTATTTTAGCCAAGGGAGAGGTGGAGGGAGCAAAAGGGAATAGTATTTTCAGGGCTGGAGCACTGTGATGATATAAACTGGTCAAGGTGCAGCTGCTCTGATGCATCTCAGGCTGCAGATGAGAGAATGGGAACGTGGCCAAGAGAGAGGAAAAGAGAATTCTTTGCCCTTTGAACTTTGACTTCACTGCTTTCATTCATTGGTCTTGGGAAGTTAGGGCACCTCAGCTGATAAAATTATCATAGGTCCCATGAAAGTGTTGGAGGAATCCAGATTTGCACCAGGTGAAGGTTTAAACCCTGTCCTTTGGGGTGGAATGTGGGAGACTGGGATTATTTGACCGGTAGCTCCATAGATGGGTGGGATGCCCCTTGGGTTGCAGAGTAAAATAATGTGGTGCTACTGCAACCTGAGGTGGCCTGTGAGCTTGCACTGGAGCTGCTGAGAAGGCTGGAAGATACAGGCAAAACTTTGGGCATATTAGCAAAGTCAGTGATGGTCGGGGCTTTAGGCTCTGTTGGATTGTGTTCCTGTATTTATAGAGCTGTGGGCTGGATCATATTGTCACTATTCAGGTCAGCTGTGGTTTATTCAGGTAGCATTTCTCTGAAGGTGCTTATTTGCTTGTACTGTCTTCTCTCAGCACCCTAAGGATTACTTGGCTTCTGTGTTGTTTCCTATTTGTCTGCAAATATGATGGCAAAATAAATTATGAGACATAAAAGAACACCCTAAAATAGTAAAATCTGTTAATGTGCACTTTCCATTCCATGAGGCTCTTGCATAATTTGGGCAGCAGTTTGAATTAATTTTCCCCTGCGCTCACACAGTTGGAAGGAGCTCTGACTGCAAAGCACTGGAAAAAACACAGGGGACACAAAAATGTCCTTTCCCAGTGTGAGAAAGAGATCCTTATTAGCTCAGTGTGACCTGCAGTGATGTAATGCAGTTTATTTTGGGCCTCATCAGACAAAACAGTGAGCAGTATTGCAGTTAAAATCCAATTATTTTAACTGACAGACCTGATGCTCTGCTGTCTCTTACCCCATTTCCTCCAGCCAGTGAGGAGCTGTGGGTGTCAGAGCGACACCAGCTCTGCTGTGGGTTTTTTCACAACCTCAGAAGCAAATTACAGGGCTGAGCAGCACCCAGGGAGCAAACCAGTGCTAATGGCAGCCTCAGAGGACACGGGGTTTTCTGCACATCAGACAGCCCAAAGCACTGAGCAAA